AAAGACGTTTCTGGATGCCCAGGGTTTTTTTCAAGAAAGCTGGCTCTGCGCTGCAAGGGCTTCTGCAGGACCAGGCCCAGGAGGAAATGGGTCCTGGCGCGGACTCCGATGCCATCGCGGCCCACGCAGTCAAGGGGAACATCTTCCACACCATGAACTTTCTGCTGAGCTACAGGGAGTCCATCCGTGAGGCTGTGAGAAGCGGTCAGATCGAGATCCACAGTGGCATCTACGATCTGGAGACAGGCTGTGTGGAGTTCTTGGGGAGGAGCCCGCAGCAGGCCCAGCTGCTGGAGTCCAGCATGCCTGTCCCACCTTCACAGTCTACCTCTGACAGCGCCTCTTCTGCAACTCGTGAATCAATGGCAGTTCTGAAGTGCGAGTTCCTTTGTCTATGCAGGCCGGGCTGCAAGCTGGCAGAGGGCAAATAGCAAGCGTTGGCAAGGGCGCAAAGTTGCTTGAGACAAAACACACCAGACATCGAGTCTGACTCTTACATGTTTTTTTACACTCAATGCTCATATCATCATGTCAGGCTTAGGCTGCACCTTTGCCTTGATGCGTTATTAGCGCTTTCTTGAATGCTCATTCATCATTCCAAACAAGCGAAAAAGCACCTCCAGCTGCAGACTGGGTGAATCCAATGCGCCTCTATGCCCTGCGGGCCTTCACTTGCCTTTCGTCGCTCCGAGTCTCAAAACTGCGAGTCTGCTGAAAGCCTTGCGGCTTCAGCTTGCTGCATGGCAGATCTTCGAGATGGCAGCAGAAATCACGAAACTGGTAGAGGAGGCACAAAGCGAAAGGAGCCTCCCTCATTAAATAGTCTGAAAACTGTTCGAATTACGATGCCGGCGTGCAGCCTTGTGCAACGCCTGGTTTGGGGCATCGCGGGCCTGTTGCGACTCCAGTGGTCCAGTCGCGCCACAAGGCCAAATCAAAAGCTGCAGAAGTTCGGAGCACTCAGATGTACAGATTATGCAATCCCAGTTCAAAAGCTCCACAGGTGGAAGCTGAAATGATAGCCATACTCTTGCCCGTTGCGCTCATGCGCCACGGAACTTTTGCA